GTTCAGTAGTTTGTTCAGTAGTTTGTTCAGTGTTTTGTTCAGTAGTTTGTTCAGTAGTTTGTTCAGTAGTTTGTTCAGTAGTTTGTTCAGTAGTTTGTTCAGTAGTTTTGTTCAGTAGTTTTGTAAAGACTGTAGAGCAGTGGCATTCATTATCGCCCCCTAATGGGGTCACGGAGGAATTGCAGTGGGGTCTACAAATAAAAATACCTTTTGTAATGAAGGTTATTTGTTGACGTGAAAATCAAAAAATGTAACGAGTTGATGGAGTATGAAAAATGTATGCACTCACTAACTGTAAGTCGCTCTGGATAAGAGCGTCTGCTAAAATGACTAAAATGTAAATGTAAAATGTGTCACATGCTTGGTAAACAACAGGTGTGGACTAACAGAGAAATGCTTCCCAACAATGCAGAGAGAAAGAAAATAGAAAAAAAAAAGTTAAACACGTAATAATAAATACACAATGAGTAACGATAACAAGGCTAGTGCATTCAGAAAGTATTCACACCCCTTGACTTTTTCCACATTTTGTTGTGTTAAAATCTGGCCTACACACACAACACCCCATAATGTCAAAGTGGAATTATGTTTTCCTACATTTTTACAAATTAATTAAAAATGAAAAGCTGAACTGTCTTGAGTCAATAAGTATTCAACCCCTTTGTTATGGCAAGCCTAAATAAGTTCAGGTGTATAAATGTGCTTAACAAGTCACAAAATAAGTTGCATGGACTCACTCGGTGTGCAATAATAGTGTTTAACATGATTTTGTAATTACTACCTTACCCCACACATACAATTATCTGTAAGGTCCCTCAGTCGAGCAGTGAATTTAAAACACAGATTCAACCACAAAGACCAGGGAGGTTTTCCAATCCCTTGCAAAGAAGGGTACCTATTGGTAGATCGGTAACAAAAAAAATGTCAACGGACATTGAATATCCCTTTGAGCATGGTGAAGTTATTAATTACACTTTGGATGGTGTATCAATACACCCAGTCACTACAAAGATACAGGCGTCCTTCCTAACTCAGCTGCCGGAGAGGAAGGTAACTGCTCAGGGATTTCACCATGAGGCCAATGGTGACTTTAAAACAGTTACAGAGTTTAATGGCTGTGATAGGAGAAAACTGAGGATGGATCAACAACATTGTAGTGACTCCACAATGCTAACCTAAATTACAGATAAGAGTGAAAAGAAGGAAGCCTGTATAGAATAAAAATATTCCAAAACATGCATCCTGTTTGCAACAAGGCACTAAAGTAAAACTGCAAAAAATGTGGCAAAGGAATTAACCTGTCCTGAATACAAAGTGTTATGTTTGGGGCAAATCCAACACAACACATCACTAAGTACCTCTCTTCATATTTTCAAGCATAGTGGTGGTTGCATCATGTTATGGGTATGCTTGTAATCGTTAAGGACTGGGATGTTTTCCAGGATAAAAAATAAACGGAATGGAGCTAAGCACAGGCAGAATCCTAGAGGAAAACCTGGTTCAGTCTTCTTTCCACCAGACACTGGGAGATGAACTCACCTTTCAGCAGGACAATAACCTAAAACAAGGCCAAAATCTACACTGGAGTCGCTTACCAAGAAGACAGCGAATGTTCCTGAGTGGCCGAGTTACAGTTTTGACTTAAATCTACTTGAAAATCTACGGCAAGACCTGAAAATGTATGTCTAGCAATGATCAACAACCAATTTGACAGAGCTTGAAGAATTTTGAAAATAATAAATTGGCAAATGTTGTACAATCCAGTTGTGGAAAGCTCTTAGAGACTTACCCAGAAAGACTCACAGCTGTAATCACTGCATCTACAAAAAGTATTGACTCAGGGGTGTGATACTTATGCAAATTAGATATTTCTGTATTTCATCTACAATAAATTGGCAAAATTATCTAAAAACACATTTTCACTTTGTCATTATGGGGTATTGTGTGTAGATCGATGAGATTATTATTATATATTTTTTTTTAATCAATTTTGAATTCAGGCTATAACACAGCAACATATGGAATAATTCAAGGGGTATGAATACGTTCTGAAGGCACTGTACACGGGGTACCAGTAAAGAGTTGATGTGCTGGGGTACGAGGTAATTGCAGTAGATATGTACATACACCTAGCAATAAAATGATGGATAGAAAACAGTAGCATCAGCGTATGTGAGGAGTCAAAAGTTAGTGCAAAAAGGGGGTCAATACAGATAGTTAAATTGTTAACCAAATAGCTACCCGGGCTAACTATTTAGCAGTCTTATGGCTTGGATGTAGAAGCTGTTCAGGGTCCTGTTGGTTCCAGACTTGGTGCATTGGTACCGTTTGCCATGCAATAGCAGAGAGAACAGTCTATGACTTGGGTGGATGGAGGCTGACAATTTGTAGGGCCCTTTTTCTGACACCGCCTGGTATAGAGGTCCTGGATGGCAGGGAGCTCGGCCCCAGTGATGTACTACCCTCTGCAGCGCCTTGCGGTCGGTCGGATGCCAAACAGTTACCATACCAAGCGGTGATGAAGCCAGTCAAGATGCTCTCAATGGCGCAGCTGTATAACTTTTTGAGGATTGAGGGCCCATACAAAATATTTTCAGCCTCCTGAGGGGGAAGAGGCGTTGTCGTGCCCTCTTCACAGTTGTGTTGGTGTGTTTGGACCATGCTAGATCCTTAGTGATGTGGACACCCGAGGATCCTGAAGCTCTCGAACCGCTCCACTTCAGCCCCCTCTGTTTCCTGTAGTCAACGATCAGCTCCTTTGTCTCGCTGACATTGAGGGAGAGATTGTTGTCCAGGTCTCTGACCTCCTCCCTATAGGCTGTCTCATCGTCGTCAGTGATCAGGCCTACCACTGTCGTGTCGTCGGCAAACTTAATGATGGTGTTGGAGTCGTGTGAGGCCACGCAGTCGTGGGTCAACAGAGAGTACAGGAGCGGACTAAGCACGCACCCCTGAGGGGCCCCTGTGTTGAGGGAAAATATATATATTTTAAAACGGTATTACCGTATACCCCGGTATGGTAAAGAAGGTATGAAAATCTGGATGCCGCCCAACCCTACTTGAAACATGTAGGTATTACAGACTGGGTAAGGGAGAGGTTGAAAATGTCAGTGAAAACACTTGCCAGCTGGTCAGCGCATGCTCCGAGTAAACGTCCTGGTAATCCGTCTGGCCCTGCAGCCTTGGGAATGTTAACCTGTTTAAAAAGGTATTTTTCACATCGGCTACGGAGAGCGTGATCACAGACATCCGGAACAGCTGGTGCTCTCACGCATGGTTCAGTGTTGCTTGCCTCGAAGCGAGCATTAAAAGCCATTAGCCCATCTGGTATGCTCGCGTCACTGGGCAGCTCGCGGCTGGGTTACCCTTTGTAAATCAGTGATAGTTTGCAAGCCCTGCCACATCTGATGAGCACCAGAGCCGATGTGGAAGGATTCGATCTTAGTCCTGTTTGGTCGCTTTGCCCGTTTGATGGTTCGGAGGACAAAGCGTCCGGGTTAGTGTCCCGCTCCTTGAAAGCAGCAGCTTTAGCCTATATACTTTATAGCTTTATCAGTGCGGATGTTGTCTATAATCCATGGCTTCTGATTGGGCGTACGGTCACTGTGGGTCGATGTCATCGATGCACTTATTAATGAAGCCGGTGACTGACGTGGTAAACTCCTCAATGCCATCGTATGAGTCCCGGGAACATATTGAATATGTACTAGCAAAACCGTACTGAGCGCGTCACTAGTACTTCCTGTTTGAGTTTTTGCTTTGAAGCAGGAATCAGGAGGATAGAGTGATGGTCAGATTTCCCAAATGGAGGGCAAGGGAAAGCTTTGTATGAATCTCTGTATGTGGAGTAAAGGTGATCTAGAGTTTTTTCACCTCTAGTTGCACAGGTGACAAATTATGTAAAACTAACTATTGTAAAACATACTGTGTCCGTAAAATGTATATATAAGCTGGAAGTAGAATTTTAAAGCTGATCCATGCCTTAAAATCACCGGCCACTAGGAGTGCCGCCTCTGGATGAACATTTTCTTGTTAGCTTATGGCCTTGTACAGCTCGTTGAGTGCGGTCTTAGTGCCAGCATCGGTTTGTGGTGGTAAATAGATAAAAACTCTCTTGGCAAATAGTATGGTCTAACAGCTTATCATGAGGTATTCTAACTCAGGCGAGCAGAACCTTGAGACTTCCTTAATATTAGAGATCACGCAGCAGCTGTTAAAGAGACACACAACCCCTCTCCCTTGAGCTTACCCAACGCTGCCGTTCTGTCCTGCTGATGCATAGAAGAAGAAACAGCTAGTTGTATATTGTCCATGTCCTTGTTCAGCAAAGTTTCCTAGAAACACAGGACATTACAGTTCTTCAGGTCCCGTTGATAGGATAGTCTGGAACGGAGTTCGTCCAGTTTGTTCTCTAGTGATTGTACGTTGGCCAATAGGAGTGTCTGGAATCAGGGCCTGGTACCGGGGTGAGCAGTATGTCCTGCGCAGCCAACCCGTTGAAGTAGAACTCTTCATCCAAATCGGAGGTTAGTGATCGCTGTTCTGATGTCCAGAAGCTATTTTTCGGTCATAGGAAATGGCGGAAACATTATGTAAAAAAAAAAAAAAAAAAAAAGAAGAAGTAAAGATCAGCGCAAAATAACACAAAATAGTGAATTGGTCAGGAGCCCGTAAAATGGCCGCTCCATTCTTTTGAACTTGGGGTTTGGGGTGGGGTCGCCTGAAAATCGTGCGAAATAAAATGGAGGTCCCTTCTGAAAAAGTTTGAATACCACTGCTGTAGAGTACTAAACCACAGAGGTCACATTATATAAATGACCCAAATACAAAATCAACATGGCCAAATATTCAAACTGAGCAGAGCAATCAAATTATACTTCTGAACAACACCAGAACCACCCCTCAATGCTCAGACAGACATGTGATTTTTTTGGGGTGGGGGACTGAATAAACTAATGAAAAGAAATACCAATAGGTAGTTTGAGTGGATTATTCCTTTAACAGTCAAAGCCACTGTCATTGGAGCTACCCTTGGGGCCAAAGAGAGAACGTTTTAAAAGACGACTTTATCGAACCATACATTGACATCTAGATGTAAAATATCACCGGCATCGTTTACTTTCAACGACCTTGTCAACCTTGATCGCCTGTAACAAATTATTTTGTCAGTAGCAAAGCATATAAATGCACCACTGTGGTTACATTCACACACAGTTAGGAGTGCTACAGTGTTTGCGGACAGTCAAAGGTCATAAGTATCCAATCGCTCTCCTCCTCTCCTGCAGAGAGAGGGGGGGGAGAAAGCCTTGTGAAAGAGAGTACTGGGTTATACGAGAGAGACGGCAGGGTGAGTTAGGAGGGAAGACGAGAGGAGTCCCAGCAACACAGGAAGTTGAAGGAGAACAAGGAGGAGTGAAACCTAATGTTTTCTCCTGGGGGGAATGAGAAACAGAACAAGTCTACAGTCACATGTGGGGGGATTGGGGAACGGTTATCTTGGAGGCAAACGCATAACATGTTCTAAAAGGCAGGCTTTTGTTCCAGCCCTGCTCCAATACGCCCAATTCAGCTGCTCAAAGTCCTGTTGAGCAGCTAATTAGCAGAGTCAGCTGTGTTAGAGCAGAACTGGAACAAAACCCTGCACACCTGTAGTTATAGTAGGAGGGTTGTTCAACCCTGTTCTATGGCTTGGATGCATTTCTGTGTCTAACCCCTAACCCTTTAGTGTTCACAGATCTGAAAGACAGCTGGACAGCTAAAAACTCCAGTTAGACCTCCTGTAGACTAAGCAGAGCCATTAGAATATTGCTTACACCCATCCAGTCCTTTCAGATTATAGGGGTTGTTGTGTGCCAGTTCAGACTCACCACTGTCCTCTTGGAGCAGAGGTAGGCGTGGCACTCCAGTGTTCCGTTGAGGGTGTTCTGGGAGATGTAGGCAAACACCTTGTCGTGCAGCTTGTCCGCCGTGCAGTAGGATATCCTGCAGGACACAGGGCAAAGGTTAAAGGTCAGAGGGCAAAATAAAGTCAGAGAGGTCACAGTTATGGTTCAAATGGCAAGTGTCCTCTGTGACAAACCAGGATGCCATAAAAGCTTGGTCAATGTATGGGAACAAACATTCCGGCTGAGTGTGTGTGTGTGTGTGTGGCCACCCAGCTCTGCCTAGATCAGGTCTCCTGTAGGGAGCAGATCAGGTCTCCTGTAGGGAGCAGATCAGGTCTCCTGTAGGGAGCAGATCAGGTCTCCTGTAGGGAGCAGATCAGGTCTCCTGTAGGGAGCAGATCAGGTCTCCTGTAGGGAGCTGTATTTTCCAAAACATTCCTCTTTCCCACCTCCCCTACTCCTCCCCCATATCTCCTTCCAACCTCCGCCACTCCTTCCAACCTCCGCCACTCCTTCCAACCTCCGCCACTCCTTCCAACCTCCGCCACTCCTTCCAACCACCGCCACTCCTTCCAACCACCGCCACTCCTTCCAACCACCGCCTCTCCTTCCAACCTCCCCCTCTCCTTCCAACCTCCCCCTCTCCTTCCAACCTCCCCCTCTCCTTCCAACCTCCCCCTCTCAGGTTTCTCCTCCATAGAAAAACAATAAGTAGGTCATATGTTTTTTTAAATTTGCAACCACGATGCACAGCACACACCCCTACCTGTATATGGAGATGTTGTCTAGTAGCTGGTTGGTCAGACTGTCGTAAAGCATAATACCCTGAGGAGAAACCTTCAGAGACACCTTCTGAGGCTTCTTACCTCCCGCTTTGGCCTGGAGAGGATAGAGTTGATGACAGAGAACATTGATTCATTACAAATCAAATTTTCCTAATGGCTTTGGCCTGGATCAATAAGAGATTATTATAATGACAATAATGAGAGATGAAGATCATTTATGAAGATCTTAAAATTTCACAAAAGATATATCATCATAGAGCAATGCTTACTGATAATAGATCTAAGATAAAATATGATCAACAATATAAATGATACCAATAAGGGTGAGATAACTAACAATTGTTTTCTAAAGAGCAGGCCACGTTATTCAGTCATCTTAAAGTACTTAACAAAAAAAATGCTGTTCTTGAGAGCAGAAGCAATCAAGAGCCACTCCAGAAATAATCATAATCTACATCATGTGCTTAGGAACTTCCTGTCCTTTGAATTTCCAGTCTCTCCTACTTCCTGTATGACATCACAGCTCACCATGGCAACAATCCTCTTGACAGCAGCTGCTGATAGGTCCTCTCCTTTGGGCTGATCCACCAGGGTCATGCCTAGGTGACGGAGGTTAAAGGTCATGCCATCTACAACAGTCTCCGTCATGTCTGTCCAGTTCTCAGGAAGTTCTGGAGAAAGAGAGAGAGGTAGGGAGAGAGAGAGAGAGGTAGGGAGTGAGAGGAGAGTAGGATAGGAGTTGAGGATGAGTAGAGTAGGGAGGTAAGTGAGAGAGAGTAGTGAGGGAGAGAGAGAGGAGAGTGTAGGGCTGAGAGGAGGTAGGGGTGGAGAGACAGATGGTAGGGGAGTGAGAGAGAGAGAGGTGGAGTGAGAGAGAGAGGTACGGACTGAGAGGTCTGGAGAGAGAGTAGGTTGAGGAGATAGAGGTAGGGAGTGGTGATAGGGTAGGGGTTGATAGAGCGTAGGGAGTGAGATAAGAGGTAGTTAGTGAGAGATCGGCTAGGCGTCTCTCCGTAGGGTGGGGAGAGGAGTTTCGTTCGAGGAGGAGAGGTCGTAGGGAGTGAGCAGGTGCGCGCGCCGGTCGGGCTGCGCTCGCGGTCGGGCGTTCGCGCCGCGTTCGTGTGCGTGCCGCGCTCGTGCGTGCGCGCGCGCGGTCGGTGCGTGCGCGCGCGCGTCGGCTTGGGCGCTCGGTCTGCTGCGCGTCGTCGCGGTCGGCGTGCGCTGCGCGCGTTTCTGGGCGTGGCGCTCGCGGTCGGGCGTTCGCGCGCGGTCTGGCTCGGCGCGCGCGTCGGGCGTGCGCGCGCGCGGTCGGGCTGGGCGCGCGCGGTCGGGCGTGTCGTCTCGCGCGCGCCTTCCGGGCGTGGTCGCGCGCGCGGTCCGGGCGTGCGCGCGCGTCGGGTCGTGCGCGCGCCGCCGCTGGGTCGGCTGTGCGTCCGCGCCGTTCGGGCGTGCGCGGTCGCGGTCTGGCGTCGTCGCGCGCGGTCGGGCGTGCCGCGCGCGCGCGTCGCGTGCTCGCGCGCTCGCGGCTGCGCGCGCCGCTCGGGTCTGGCATCGCCTCGCGCGCGGGCCGTGAGTGAGAGCGGGGTGGTGGAGTGGGCGAGGGCGAGCGAGGGGTCGGTGGGCGTGGAAGAGATGAGGCGCGGGGGTCGGGGGCTGGGAGTGAGAGAGCGAGGGTAGGGTGAGAAAGGGGAGAGAGGGGTAGGGAGTGAGAAAGAGAGAGAGGTAGGGAGTGAGAAAGAGAGAGAGGTAGGGAGTGAGAAAGAGAGAGAGGATCGGGGTGGGGAGTGGAGGGAGAGGGGGTTGCGGTGGGTCGCGTAGGCGGAGGCGGGGTGGGGATTCGTGAGTCGAGAGCGAGGAGGTCGGGAGGTTGACGCGGAGGTGGTGCTTTCCCGTGAGGTCAGGGAGTGATCGAAAGAGAGAGTAGGGATGAGAAGAGAGAGAGGCATGGAGTGAGTTCAGAGGTTATAAGACGGTAAAGAATAGGCAGTCAAACAGAGATAAATCCTCTATGGGGTTATAAGTAGAAGGTCATGACCTCCAGGTTGTTCTGTATCCGTCCAGTTCCCAAGCAGCTAGGTGGGTCAAAGTTCAGCGATTATATTCAATCATGTTTGAGAACAGGGTCAATATTATGTATAAGTTGGATACAGGTGGCTACATCTGTCTGTCTGCTTCTGAAATAGTGTTTTCTGTTGCGTCAGTATTGGTCTGTCATGAATTTGTGGAGTTTATGATATTCAAAACAAAGTCCCGTAAAAGGTAAATAAGCTGGTTTCCATCTGAAACGGTTTCAAAAACCCTGTGTGGCAGGCATTGTGTTGTGTGACAAAACTGCACATTTTAGAGTGGCCTTTTATTGTCCCCAGCACAATGTGCACGTGTAATGATCATGCTGTTTAATCATCTTCTTGATATGCCACACCTGGCATGCTCACTAACAGGGATGTAAACACATTTGGGCACAACATTTGAGAGAAATAAGCTTTTTGTGCGTATGGAACAATTCTGGGATTTTTTAATTTCAGCTCATGAAACATGGGTCCAACACTTTACATAGTGTTTATATTTTTGTTCAGAATAAATACTTTTAGTCAGAACTAACCTATAGCTGACCTGTAAAAGAGGGCAAACGATTGAGGGGGAGAAAGGAGGACAAAAAACAAAAAAACAAAGTGTTGAACCTTGAACCTTGACATGATAAGAGAAAGAGACGCATCTTTCCAGATAAGATGGGGTAAGTTATCCATCGTCACAGATCCCGGACCAGCTATGAAAACCTGACGACTTCTAGCCTACTGCTCCATCTATCGTCACGGAGAAGAAACGGGCGTGGCAATTTGTGACGGCCCTGAATTTGTCTGAACCGTCTCAGTGCTTCTCCTGCCAATAGGACGCTTGCCTTTTAATTCCCTATTAAATAGACAGCATCAGCTGCGGGACTCATTCCCACACAAGCAAAAAGGAGAAATCTATATTTTCTCTGGTAGGCACAAACTACCTGGCACCCCTACAAACAATAACCTCAAGTCAAAACCGTTACAAATTGGCTGGAGCCAATGGATGGGTAGCCAGGCAAATTAAACCTTAACCGTAAAACTGAAGGCGCAAATCTGACCCAGTGTCTAAGTAACTTCATCCTACTTCTGAAAGCCAAACAGGGGGACAGTGAGTAATATTAACTCTTGAAGGCCATTTTCTCATTCCTTATCTTTTGTGTGTCTGAAGGGGGGGGGCATGGATGTGGCTACGCAGACCCCGAGCCACTGCGGCCCCTCATGATGAGTTCCGGTTTTCTGTGGCCCCCACCTCCATCGAAATTACCCATCCCTAAGGCATACAGTGCATTCGGAAAGTATTCAAATTCCTTGACTTTCTCCACATTTTGTTATGTTACAGCCTTATTCTAAAAATGGATTAAATTGTTTCCCCCCCCCCCCCAATCTACCCCCAATACCCCATAATGACAAAGCAAAAACAGGTTGAGAAATTTTATCAAATTTATAAGAAAAATAAATAAATAAATAAATAAATAAATAAAATATATATATATATATATATATATATATATATTACATTTACATAAATATTCAGACCCTTTACTCAGTACTTTATTGACGCACCTTTGGCAGTGATTACAGCCTTGAGTATTCTTGGGTATGACGCTACAAGCTTGGCACACCTGTATTTGTGGAGTTTCTCCCATTCTTCTCTGCAGATCCTCTCAAGCTCTGTCAGGTTGGATGGGGAGCGTCGCTGCACAGCTATGTTCAGGTCTCTCCAGAGATGTTCGATGTGGTTCAAGTCCGGGCTCTGGCTGGGCCACTCCAGGACATTGAGACTTGTCCTGAAGCCACTCCTGCGTTGTCTTGGCTGTGTGCTTAGTGTCGTTGTACTGTGGTTCCAAACTTCTTCCTTTTAAGAATGATGGAGGCCACTGTGTTCCTGGGGACCTTCAATGCTGCAGAAATGTTTTGGTACCCTTCCCCAGATATGTGCGTCAACAAAATCCTGTCTCGGAGCTCTACGGACAATTCCTTCGACTTCATGGCTTGGTTTTTTGCTCTGACATGCACTATCAACTGTGGGACCTTATATAGACAGGTGTGTGCATTACCAAATCATGTCAAATCAATTGCCTTTACCACAGGTGGACTCCAATCAAGTTGTAGAAACATCAAGGATGATCAATGGAAACAGGATGCACCTGAGCTCAATTTCGAGTCTCATAGCAAAAGGGTCTGAATACTTATGTAAATAAGTTTATATTTTTAATACATTTCTAAAAACCTGTTCTCTCTTTGCCATTATGAGGTATTGCAGGTAGATAGATGTGGACATGTTTTTATTTAATCAATTTTAGAATAAGGCCATAACGTAACAAATGTGAAAACGTGAAGAGGTCTGAATACTTTCCGAATGCACTGTAAAGCCTATGTTATCTAGGGGCTGACTATCTGACTGGGCTAACGTCCAATGAAAACACTGCTTTTTAGAAGACCTGTGAGGATTCAAGTTCACGTGAGGTTTCTGAATGGAAGTTGGAACTATAGATTAGACCACAGTGACACACACACAAAAGATAAGCAGGGCGGTCTTCTAAAGGTAAACAAACATTGCCACAACAACAGGAAACCGCACAGCATCAGACCCCTCTATCAACACACAACAGCTAATCAGAGCCCTCTTTTAAGACAAAACAGCCTATCAGAATCCATGACTGAACAAACAATAATAGTACATTCTCAGAACTCAGTCAACTAAATCCTACATCTATAGGAATATATAAAAAACAGTATTATTGAATTCACAGAAGTAAACACGTTCTATAGGAATGAGGAAAAACAGTATTACTGAACTCGCAGCACAAGGACCACAAAGGCCGTTTTCTAATGTTGAATTGTACCTTACATCGTGAAAAATGCACATTGATTTAATTGTATATCCCACCAGGGGCAAATCTGGTGTTTTTAGATTGAATTCAAGTTATTAGATCAAATCCATACAGGACTTTTTATTTTAGCAGGTGACCTATATCATACAGTCGTAGATTGACAGACGTAACAAAAAAAGGCTAATTATCTTTACAAATAATTTTACAGAACACCTGAAGATTATTATTCCCAACTACAATCCAGGCTCTGTCGTAGCCGGCCGCGACCGGGAGACCCATGGGGCGGCGCATAATTGGCCCAGGGTAGGGGAGGGAATGGGCCGGCAGGGATGTAGCTCAGTTGGTAGAGCATGGCGTTTGCAACGCCAGGGTTGTGGGTTCAATTCCCACGGGGGGCCAGTATGAAAAATAAAATAATGTATGCACTCACTAACTGTAAGTCGCTCTGGATAAGAGCGTCTGCTAAATGACTAAAATGTAAAATGTACAAAAGACTACTTTTTTTTTTCTCAAAGTAAGAAAAGCTATTCAAGAATTGACTATTCCAAAAATGCTCTAAACAATTTACTGGGTTCAAAACTCCATGACAGTGATATCGGATCATTCTCCGGTATCATGCTTAATTACACCATCAGAAAATACACTTAGCGACAGAATATGGAGAATGAACAGAGTGTATCTTCAGGACTTGACATTTACTAAATACATAAATGGAAAAAAATCTAACCCTTTACCATTACAAATGTAGACAGAGGAAAGATAAAGAAAATACAATTTCTG